ACAATCGAAAAATGATTTATGTGATTATTTACGTATATTCAAACCACGTCGATTTATTTTTAAATCATTTAAACGTTATTGGTTCGTTTTACGAAATACACAATTAAATTATTATACAGATGAATGTCAACAACATAGTACACCGATTGAAAAAATTTTACTTAAAGGTTCAGAAATTCTTCCCGATGTAAATATATCAACAAAAAAATATTCAATTCGTTTAATGATTCCATCCATTGATGGAATGAATGAAATATTAATTAAATGTTCAACAGTATATATATTAAATAAATCTATACTAAAATAAATATTTTTTGTTTTCGAAGATAAAACAATATGCAACATGGATGGCTGCATTTCGTCTTGCATCAAAAGGTCGTACTACAGATGAACCATCTTATGAAACGGAACGAGAATCAATATTAGCTTTACTTAATATGCAATTACCATTATCAAATTCTCAACATACAAAATGTGATATTCAACCAGAGAATTATGTATCAATAAAATTTTCAAAAAAATATAAACCGAAACAGGTTCGTATATCTAAAAAATAAGTTTTTTTCATTCAACGGACAAATTCATCGAATTACTTTTTTTTCATAAAGTTTATTCGATATAATATATTATTGTCCGAAAAGAAAAATATACTTCACGACGATCTTACATATTTAAAGCATTGATTTATGTAAGAACAGAATGAATAGTAAACATTTCGATATGAACTATTGTTATTTTATAGTAGATAATTAAATTAATTGCTCATTAATTTCTCTTATGAATATATAGGAGACAAGAATAACAAAGACGTCTGACAGTGAGATATTAGTAGCAAGGAATTATCTTAATTATAGTAAATCAAAATACTTGTTATCTTTATATGTATGTCTGATACAAAGTAATAATAATTTAGCTAATATTCTCTTTCCATTGATTTGAATAATTAGAATGTCTGATTTCTTTTTAGTTAACTGAACGTATTCTCGAAGCGCATGCTGCTATAAGTAATTTAGATGGTACAGAAGCTAAATTACGATATTTAAAACTTTGGCAATCATTACCTGAATTTGGTATTTCAACATTTATTGTTAAATTTAAAGATTCAAATAAAAAAGAAGTAAAAAAACTATAATTTTTTGTTATTTTCTCATAATATTTATTTAGGAATTACTTGGTATTGCATCAAATCGTCTTTTACGTATGACAATGGCAGGTGATATATTAAAAACATGGTGGATATCTCGAATGTGTTCATGGAATGTTAATTGGGATAAAAAATTAGTTACTATTGAATTTGATGATGAATTAATACAATTTTTACCATTATATGGTACAAATAGTAAATGTATACATGAATTTATTGGTGCATACATTTTTTTGGCTATGAGATCAAATACAACAATGTCTGATAATAATGATCCGCTTAGACAAGAGCTACTTTTTCAACGACTTACTGCTGCTTATTCATAGAATATCTCAGGGATTTTTTTTTGTTTTGGTTTTTAATTAAAATATACTCATGTTATTTATCTCATTTAATTTAAAATTGTCAGTATACTTTAGAGATCTTATCTTTTTTTCTTGGGAATGATTTTTTTTAGTCATTTTTGTTTTTATTTAAATAAATTTTTTAATAGTTCAATATTTAAAATCTTAATTTAACAGAAACGAAATAATATAAATCAGAATATATCTGTTTTTAGATGTAATTCAATGGAAAATTTTACTCATGTTAGAAACAATCTGTTATTTTCTCTAATAAAGTCTAATACATTTAGGTTAATAAACTCGACGTATTTGTTCAATAGGTATGTTAAATTCATTTATTTTGTATTCGATTGACTATTATTTGGTAGTTTCTTACGATCTTTCGAAAATTTTTCAAGTCCAACGAGGAAAATACTTGTTGTAACTAGAAATGACCCAATTAAAACGAACCAATTTGATTTAACTTTCGAAAATAAATTTTGTAATATAATTGCAAATAGAATATCTGATGATTGAGCAACAGAAATAATCGATGGATGTTCAAGTTTAATTGCTTTTTGTGTTATTGTTGATGATAATACTTGTATTAATGAAACAAATGCAGCAAGAAAAAATTGCCATGTAAACATTGTTTGATTATCATATTTATGTAAAATAAAACGATTATATATATGATTAAGAATAAGTAAAGTTAATGTTAAGAGAGAAAATTCTAACATTATTATACTTTGAGGAATTTTTGACATTAATAATTTTTTATTAATTACCATACTACCTGATATTGATAGAGCACATCCAAGTGCAAGACAAAGGCCAAGTAAACGATAAGATTTATCAGATTCATAATCAATAACATCTGTTTTATTTAATATTATTTTACTTTGATTTGATAAGATTTGATGATTATTATGATTAAATAAGAATGTGGGTTGTGCAACTAATGTTACACCTGTTAGTGTAAATATAATAGCTACAAGTGTTGATATTGATATACGTTCATGAAAAATAATCATCGCTAAAATTGCTGTCCAAATTACTTGTGTATAACGACATGTTGTTAGATCTGGTAGAGGTATATAACGATAACTACCAAAAAATAAAATTAAACCACTGGCTGCTAGAATAGCACGAATAATTTGTAGAATAATTAATTTAGTTGAACCATGAATAAATTTTTTTGTTTTACACAATGTAAACGTTAGTAAAATAAATGATTGTACAGTAAATCGACCAAAAAGTGCATCAAAAAAATCAACACGTAATTGTTTGATTATAAAACCTGAACATGTAAAAAGAAATGAAGCAAAAAGTGCATAAAATATTCCAGTACATCGTGTAATTATTTGAGAACATGTTGATTTTGTTTGAATTTCTTTATGTGAATGAAGTGTAGTAAGTGATGTATATTTTCGTTCATAGCTATTAATTATTTCATCATTATCATTTATTGATTTAAATTCATCTGTATCAATTAATGGTTCAATAAGAGGATCATTCGTACAAATATTATTATCATCTATTAAGTCATGTTTCTCAATAGTATATGATTCTGATTTCATTCTTTCTAAATATATGTTATCTTACTTGCTTTTTTTCTTCTAATAGAACATTATAAACGTCATTTTTCTTTTTATATACGCACCTTATATAAAACAACTGACTTTAACTCCCATAGTCTCTAGTACATCATTTATTTTTATCTTTTAATTAAAAATTTTTTGCACTTTAAGAGCGCAATGTAGCCACGTAGTAACTGCATGTATACTATCGTTCTTATTCAGCAGTATTAGTAATTTTAGAAAATATCATTTGAGTTTTATGAATGATTATTTATTTCCTTTGTATTTTTATTGATTGATGTGTGCGATTTTGTCGATCTAACCAAAGTTTATGACCACCAAGAATAAAAATACTTGTAAGAACAAGTATTGAACCAATTATTGCAAGTCCATTTGATTTCTTTGCTAGAAATATATTTTGTAATATAAGAGAAAAAAGTATTTCGGATGCTTGTACAACTGTTACAATTGATGGATGTTCACGTTTAATAGATTTTTGTGTTAATACCATTGGTATTAATTGTAATGTTGCAAGAATTGTTGCATAAATAAAATTTTCAGTTAGATAAATTTCTTTTATATTGAATTTTCGATGATTTGTTTTTGAAAATACCCAGTAATATGTTTGAGTTATTAATAACATAAAAGTTGTTGTCAAAATAAAATGAAACATGATTACACTTTGACGAACTTTTTGTTCAAGTAATTTTTTATTTAATACAATACCCATTGATATTGAAAATGCACAAAATATAGCAACAAATACACCTTTTAAACGTTGATCATCATTTTTTAATGACATTTGTAATGTTTCATTAATCGGTTTTGATTTTGTAAAGAGAATTGTTGGCTGAGCTACACAAATGACACCAATAAGTGTTAATATACTTGCTATAATTATTGGTAATGTAATTCGTTCTCGAAATATAATTAAAACAAGAAGAGCTGTCCAGATAACTTGTGTATATCGTAATGTTGATAGCTCAGGTAATGGAAGTAATTCAAGACCAAGATAAAAACAAACACTACCCATAGCAGCCATGAATGATCGACTAAACATTAGTAAATTATTAATATTCGATGGAAATACATGATAATCTTTATAAGTAATATATACATATGAAATTAATCCTTGAATAATAAATCGAATAAGAAATACATCTAATAAAACAACATCAAGTTGTGTTATAATAAAATTTGAACATGTAAATAATAAAGCAGCTATTAAAGAATATAAAATTCCAGAAAATCTTTTTATATAACAAAAACATTTTGTATAAATATGAACTTTTTGATTGGAATCAATATTTTCTTCATCATTTTCATCGATAATATTAGCAGGATGATAAAAAATCGATGATTTTCGATCAAAATATGTTATATCATCATTTACATCATTGATTGACTGTAATAAAGGATCGAGATTAGCAACTGCTACTTCTGGAGATGATTTAGTTGAAGTTATTGAAATTGTTCGTTGTTGTTTCTCCATTGTTTCACAATCGAAAAATCAAAATACGTAGAAATCTAATTCTCTTTTTATCTTCTAACAACCGAAAACAGCCACATTTCAAACATGAAATGATCTGGACCGGATAAAAATTGTTTTGATCCATATCAAATAACATTTAGTAACATTGTAAATATCAGTTAAAATAACAATAAATCAATTAATAGTTAACCCATATTAACCTTTACATATTGCGTTACGAAAAGAGAATTGATTACGCAAGCCAATTTCCAGAATGCTCATATTATAATCATTATATAGTATAACATGTGTTTTAGAAAAAAATGATTATCTATTATTGTATATGCATCAATATTTTTTAAAACTTGAAAAATAATCAAGAATATTACTTTATTCTAGATATATACATATATATTTATTATGTTTCTTGTCCGGTGATTAATGTCTCTCATTTCAAAGGATGATGAATAATTTTCATAAAAATGGCAGACCAAGTAGACGAACACGCAAACGTATTTGATAAGATTTGAATTTAATCTATATATTTAAATATTGTTTATTTTTCTTTATAGCTTTCCAATACCCAAAAAATTGTTTCTTCCCTCATTGCTGGCGCTTGTGCAGGTATGTGATAATAATATAGAAGATTTGAATTATGTTATTGATTTGTATTTTAGGTGCCCTAGCGAAAACAACCATTGCACCATTTGATCGAGCGAAAATTAATTTCCAAGGTAGATTAATTTGATAAATATTTTCTAATTTAACTTCTTATATTTTATTAGTTAGAGTAGATAAATTTAGTTATCGTCGTTGTTTTAAATTTCTAAAAGAATCATATCGAAATGAAGGTTTTATGAGTTGGTATCGTGGAAATTCAGCCAATTTAGTTCGTGTCATTCCTTCAGCAGCTATTAATTTTACAGCACATGAACAATGGAAACGTATCCTTGGCACTGATAAACACGAGTAAAAATATCTATGAAATAGATAATAATGTATTTTATTTTCTGTAGAAAAACTCCTGGTCGACGATTTATTTCTGGTTCTTTAGCAGGTGTTACATCAGCAACGATTACTTATCCACTTGATTTAGCACGTGCGCGTATGGCAGTGACGAATAAAACTGTGTATGTATCTTTTGAATGTAATCAATTCTTAATTGTATTTTATTTTCTTTAGGTATAGTAATTTATTCTCCGTCTTTCTAAGCATCCTAAAAAATGAAGGTGTTACAGCTTTATATCGAGGTGCACTTTTATCGTTAGTCGGTGTATTACCATATTCTGGTTGTGTTTTTTTTACTTATGAATCGCTCAAACATATTCGTATTGGTAATTGAATAAATATAAGAAAAAAGTATATATTTATATGTCTATAATATAGATTATCATTCCCATCGTCCCATTAATAAAGCTGAACGAATGTTATTCGGTGCTACTGCTGGTCTTGTTGGTCAAACAGTTTCATATCCATTTGATGTTATACGACGTAGATTACAAACTGCTGCTGTTATTCGACCAAATGAAGCATCTTTAGGTGCTATTGCAACAGCAAGTAAAATAATTCGTGAAGAAGGAATCACACGTGGTTTATATAAAGGTGTAACAATGAATTGGTTAAAAGGACCAATATCTGTAGGTGTATCATTCGTAACATTTGATACCTTGATAAAATATATTCGTCGCTCGTCTTTATTTTCTTAAAGTTAATCACTTTTGTTATGTATTTTCTTTTATGTTAATCCCTTTTGTGAATTACAAACGTATGACTCTTTTCCTTTTTTTTTTTGATATTCACATATGATTCTCTTTTCTTTCGAAAATGATAGTACTGTTTTTTTCCAGATGATTAATGATTTTCTACGTGTTGTTAGTAGGCAATCGTATCAAA